CAACATGTACAGTGACCCAACCAGAGGTAGTACCTACAGGGTCCACACTGTGACCAATGAGTTAGCACCGATGAGGGGGAAAGGATGGCTGACATTGACATTGAAGTGCGAGACGTATTCTGGGCTTGGACGTTTTGAGAAACCACAGGTGCTAATTAGACCTACAGAGCACCACGATGAGATTCAAAGAGGGGCATATGGCGATGATAAAGCCACCAGAGGTCCAGGGCAAAGATCAGGTGGGGCCCGTAGGGAGGAAAGGCCGATGGAGGATGAGAAGACGCTGCAAAGTATGGGGCCGGAAGGGGGAAGAGTACGCTCTCCTGAATATAGCAAAAGAAAACAGCACGCCGCGGTGAAGCACGGGAAAGAAAGGAGGTGAGTGGTGCTTCTGCATATATTATAGGAGGCTCAATGAAGTTAAAAAGAAAGACTCATACCCCATTCCACATGTGGATGAATGTTTGGATCTAGTGGTCAAATAATCCTGGTTTTCATCCTTAGATTCAAGAGGCAGGCACTGGTAGGTTCCATTGTCCCCATGCAGCATTGTGCACAGATAGAGAGCTATAGCATTTTAAGGTTCTTGCTTTTGGACTTTGTAATGCCCCAACGATATTCTAATGCTCAGTGAAGAGGGTGCTGGAGGGTGTTCTGTGACAAGCATGTGTAGTCTCCTTGGATGACATACTGGTACACAGAAGCTTATTTGACTCTGCTGTAGGCGCGGTACCTGGTACTAGAAAGAATCAGGGCAGCAGGGCTGAAATGGCACACCAGAAAGTGCAGATTCCTGAACAAAGAACTGATATTGCTTAGAGCTGTTGGCTGCTAACTCAGCTATTAGGCACTTCAAGTACTATCCTGAGTTATGCTAATGCACACAGTCTTGCTCATCCACTTGTGTATAGATATATTTTTTTTAATAGTAGTTTTTGTGTTTTGGCCTCCTGTCCACAAGCAGTTTTAAGTCATTGAAAATGGATCTTTGGGAAATGCTCTCTAGGGTGAAGAAGTTAAAAGTCTATTTTCTGGGGTTTTGTGCGTTATGGATGCTTTTGAAGTTGCTGTTTCACATATGATGAGTACGCTTTAGGACTGGGTTGAAAAACACAGCCCACCAAATGGGTCCATAATTTTGTCCTAACCTAATGTGTTGGGATCTGGGATAGAGCAAAAATAAGAAACTGTAAGGTGGGCCCCAAGGACTGAGTTGATTACATGTAACATGAGTTTATTACATTACAACCTACAGGTATCCTGTGATACAAGGGTTTTAGCCCTGGACTGGATATTATGTTCACTTAGTTCCTCACTTGTCCACGATGACCTTACCCCCTTTAAAATGCAAAAAAAAATTCTTCCAAAAGATGTAGAGATGCATATAGAGTCTATGCCAAGACACACTGAACCTTTTGTGGCAGCTTCTGGTGGCCCAACACCTTCACAGACACAAAAACAAAGAAAGACATGTATGTAGAAATTACTTAATATTATACATAACGGTCTCCTGTTGGAGAATCCTATGTAATTGGACAATTGATTATTCAGTTATCTTTTGGACAGCAATGTCATATAATTATACATTCTCCACGCCTTGGATGAGTTCTGCTTCTGCTCGAAGGCTAGGTGTTTTGGTAAGCCACCCATTGCCTCAATTCCTCCACCAGCAGCATGTCCAGGAAGTACTCTAGTGCTAACTAAGGCTGGGTATGCCTGCCAGGCCATTGTGCTCAGTTCCACCGCCAGCATGCTTATCCACTCTCCCTTTGGCCTTCATCTCTGCCAGGAGCCACTCTCTGACAGCCAGTGCTGCCAGTACCTGCCTGTACCGCAACTGGAGGACTGTGGTCAAATCTGTGAAGTATTTAAATGTGAATGAGGCAACAATAATTTGAAGGAATAGGTCAGCTTCTTATTTTGGAGCGTGACCACAGTTTTCTGTTCTTGGAGTAGATTGTGTGTCTAGCTAAAAAATAAAAATAAAAATGAATGGCTAATTTTGGACCATATGTGAGCTGGTTAACTTCTTAACGAGGTACATTTGCATACTGCTGCCCCAAGCACTCAAACTGGCTTAATTGTAAAAATGCACATCCTGCTTCAGGCTTTATAGAAGTCATACTAATACTGAACCTAGAAGTATGGGGTGTCTGAGCAGTGTCATGTACTGACAAATGTGTCCTCCCTCACTTTTAAAATGGGCGTGTAGCCTGTCAGTTCGGCAAAACTAGGCTTGTCTAGTCTTGTTTTAACTCGACGTTCTAACTTAATTATGTGCTATACCATGTTTGTGGGAAATTGTTAGCTGTTATAGACAATGTTCATTTGATAGGTATTATAAATAATGGCAATTTTAGCATGTATATTTGCAGAGCACGAAAAATGTAAGCATTGGTTGAAACTGTATAACAGTAGAAACGTGTTACACATAGTGCAGTGAGACAGACTGAGGATACTTTTGACAAAAAAACAGCACTTGACATTGCCTTCATTCACTTTTATATGCAAACACCCCCTTGCTGTGGAAAGAATGATGTAATTGAATAGCACCTGTATTCAAATCTAGCCAATTGCAATGTTTGTTGGTACTCATTAGCAGCCCAAGATCTGACAAAGTGGGAGAATTTGACAAAGCGATTAAAAGACTTTAATTCCTTACAAAAGTTCTTAGGTTGATAACAGATTTTTAAGGACTGTTAGTAAGACTATTCATTTTTCTTGAAACAACTGCTGTTATCGACCAACAGTTTGTTTAAAACAATTTCAGTTCTGTTCAGGACAGTATACTTCATGTATACTTGCCTGACTGGCTAAGTTGGGGGAAAAAAAGTCAATATTATTATTGAACTCAGTGGGGTTTTGGGCGGGGACTAACCATTAATTTTGTACCACCTTTTTACACAAACCTGCCCTGAGTGTTTGTTGCGAAAACCTTATTTAGATTAGGTTTGCCATCTTTATTTGATTAGTTGAGAAAATAAGGGGGTGGGGCTATCTTTCCCCAAATTAACATATGAACATACATACATACATACATCATCTAAACCGCTTATCCTTCTGGGTCGCGGTGGGGTGCTGGAGCCTATCCCAGCTGTCATTGGGCGGAAGGCAGGATACACCCTGGACAGGTCGCCAGTCCATCGCAGGGCAGACAGACAGACATACACAGTCACACCTAGGGGCAATTTAGCATGTCCGATCAGCCTGAGTGCATGTCTTTGGACTGTGGGAGGAAACCGGAGTACGCGGAGGAAACCCACGCAGACACGGGGAGAACAGACAAACTCCACACAGAGATGATCCTGGTCGCCCGGCCGGGAATCAAACCCAGGCCATTTTTGCTGTGAGGCAACAGCGCTACCCACTGCGCCACCGTGCCGCCCACATACGAACATATGAAAATAAATAAGCCAAAGGTTATTATTTCATCACATCATTGTTTATCGCATCACATTTGGCTAATTGAAGAGTAAGACATTGATATAGCTACTTAGAACGAGATTTTCCCTAAAAAAGCAAAAATAATGTCTAATTTCCACAAAAGCAGCAAAACTCTTAGGCAAAATAAATTACTGTAGCAAATCAGTTTTGCAGAATCTTTATTTCTTTATTTCTTCATCTTTATTTTATCTTTATTTCTTTTGGTGCAGGTGTAGAACAAAAGAAAAATACAATGAAATAAAAATAGAAAAAGATATACAATATACACATACATAAAAGACAGTACACAAACAATCTGTGGCTAACATAAACAATGTGCACTGGAAGATGAGTATAGTTACAACCAAGTACTGAAGTACAAATACATGTACAGCTAAAAGAATTAGGCAGCTGATATATATTTAGGTATATTTATGAAATATGTATATAAAAAAAAAAAATTCAACGGACTGGCTAAAGTGGAAAGGTTGTTATTCAGAACAGTTATATGGCATGGTATGTACAGTGGTTATGTACATTAATAAAGTGCATGTGCAGCAGTTTACAGCAGAGGGATGTGAGCAGGCTTCTTGCTTAGGACAGTGAGGTTCTGGGGAAAGAGGCTGTGGAGGTGGTGATTGGTACGAGTCTTTAGGGCTCTCACTCTTAGTCTCCACTGAGATGGAAACCGCTGGATGAGAGAGTGACCAGGGTGTGAGGGATCAGCCATGACACCCTTTCTCATCCTAGATGAGTAAAAGGTCTTCCTGCAGGAGTTTACTTTATCACACACGTTGTGTAAGGAAACAGAATACATAGCTTTCACTGAATACCATGCAATCTTCATGGTGACTGTTTTTGTTGATTTTTTTTCTCTGTACTTCAACACAGAAGATTTTAAATAAAATTTAGCTGCGGCATTAAAAGGCTGACCACGCTTCAGTTACAGGATGTGCATGTCCATATTATGTGAACTGAGCAGGACTTAAAGCTCTTTTATACATAGTCCTCCCATGTTGGTGACAAATGGCTGCTCAGTTGTCTTATGATCAGCACTGTGTCACTGTGTCCTTAAGTAATTCACAAAAGAGCCAACAGAGGGCCTCTTGATCATAAACAAATACTGATGGATAGATCTATTCATGGCATGAAAATGTGTGTCAGGAAGAGAAGAAAACACAAGAGTTTGCTCAGAGAGTTTAGCACAAAGTCTGCGAGTTTTAAACACAGCCACTGATCGAAAAAGTAATTAAACCAAGTAATTAATGTTAGTTTTATTTGAGATTATTGTAATATTCCCAATTATGTTTGATTCCTTTAAACAGATTCCTGTATGGTTGACTGAGAATACAATTAAAGCTGCCATTCCTCATTTTAACCTTATTGTTATAGATACATCTTAAATCAAATTTAGAGTACAAAGCCAAAAGAAGAACAATTGTTGTGTTACTTATAATTTGCATTGTATTTTTTTTTTCTTTTTACACTCATTACTTCATTTATCCTCTCTTTCAGAGCAAATACCCATCCAGTGCCCAGCTTAGGTTCTGTTGAAACTACAATACCTTTGTAATTCATCAGAGAACATTCATCAGTGCAGAATCTGTGTTAAATATTTGAAAAGTTAATATCAGTTTAACACACCTCCTAAACCACGGATAAAACAAAGCATAAATAACTGGATTAATGGCAGAATTAAGATAAAGCAAAATCAAGACTTTTTGAAATGTTTCAAATTCCAGTGTAATAACATTACCTAACAAAGTATACACAAAATATGGAAATAAGCATGCCAAAAACACAGACACTAAAATGCCGAGGACTTTAGCAGCTTTTCTCTCTGACTTCATTGAATCTGCCATGTTCTTTGATGTCTGAGTCCTAGTTTGAGCGTTAAGGCCTCTGATAGCTGTGGCGTGTTTCTTGGCAATTATAAAAACTAGAGCATAGAAAATAATTATGACAGCAAATGGAAAAACAAATGTAACCAAAAGATCAACCAGAGACCAGACTTCATCCAATAATAAAAAACAGTCTCCGGGACACGTCATTACATTTACGAAGGGTAAATTGATGTATTGGAGGGCGAAAGTATATGACAGCAATACAAACCAGTCACATAAAACCACAATGCACATTGTTTTCACAGACACTGCTTTAGTGTAGAGAAACGGATTAGAGAGAGCAAAATACCGATCAACTGCGATTAGAGCAATGTTGTATATAGATGAGCTTGTAAGAAAATAAGCAGCCAAAAGATAGCATATACAGTAAAGTGTCCTAAAAATCCAACATGACTCAATAATCCAGATTAAGGCAACTGGCATCACACAGACGCCAACCAGAAAGTCCGACACAGCCAGAGAGAGGATGAGCATGTTAGTCGGTGTGTGGAGCTGCTTGAAGTGGCAGACAGAGATGATGATCAGCAGGTTTCCACACACTGTTAGCAGAACAGCAGCAGCTGCAGACAAATACAACAACACATACACTGCAGTAGATACAGATCTCTCCGGACAGATATAAGCGAGACAGCCATCAGTTTGGTTAACCCCAGTAGAATTCATGGTTCCAGCATTTAAAGTGTGCTTGATTATCTAACTCAGGTCTTCTCTAGTGATGCTACAATGGCAGCTTCACCACTGACCCAAGTTTGGGTTGTGCAGCTCTGAGATTTATAAGGTTTAGAAACTGTTCACGCCCACTTCTAACATGTATGGTGGAATGTATTACGATGTAGCATAGCAAAAAAAAAGAACAACTCCCATCTGATGCAATCATCTTCCTTTTTACCATATGTGATGTATTTATGCAGTGTTTGAGTTTGGATGTCTATTATTATTACAAATATACGAAATACAATTAGTCAGTATTTTGTTTTTCAAAAATGCTCACAATAATGGAAAACATGGATAGAACACAAAGGTTTCACACTGCAGACAATTACTTTTCCAGTAAACATTTCAAATAAGTCCACTCTTTAAATGAAGTCAGACCCTCTGAGGCACATTTCAGCTATTTTCTTGCTGGCTGGCAGTTTATCACAAAAAATCAGCTCATAAATACTAGTTTTACATAATTTGTTGCATCACACAAATTACATGCTTGTACACTACTAAACATTTTAACATAAAAGCTGTTAAATGCACAATATGGATGCTCCTTTAAAAATAAGGACCTAAAGTACAGATTTAGGTTTACATTTGTACAAACATGTGCATGTAAATATTGTTTTTCTTTTGAAAAATCAGTATTTGGTGTTTTAGTAATACAGTTTTGGGAAATCCTGTAATCCAACATAACAGGTAGGTGTTAATACTCAGGTATACTTGGTTTTGATCATGGAATCTGCTTAAGGAAACTAGACAGGGGTTCCCTAACATTTCAATGCCAGGACCTAAACTTCGAGGTATTATTTGTCTAAAGACTCACCAAACATTTTATGGAGTAAATTAAGACATAAACCTTTCAAAAAATGTGGTTGGTATAGCGTGGTGGGTAGTGGAGTGGGTAGTGGTTGGTGTAGTGTGGTGGGTAACACCTTTGCCTTCTACGCTATAGACTGGTGTTCAATCCCCCACCTAGGTAAGCACCCTACACTATACCAATAAGAGTCCTTGGGCAAGACTCCTAACACTGCCTTCACCTACCTGTGTAAAATGATCAAACTGTAAGTTGCTCTGGATGTGAGCATCTGATAAATGCCATAAATGTAAATGTAAAATTGTCTGATTTCCCTTCCTTCAATATTCTCTTCTTTCAATTAAGAAGAGAAAAAGAGTACAATGATAATCAAACATGCTCAGGTCTAGACTGTTACATACTTAGTGGGACTGGAATCGAAAAATAAAAAAAAATTACAATAATAATGTAAATTAAAATAAAAATCTAAATCTGTTTTGATGCGTGGTTTCAGCTAGTTTAGTAGGCTACTCAGTTAACCATTGTTTTCTGATCACTGGTGTTGCACTGGGAATTTACGAGCTGCAAGTGACAAACAGAAGTGATTTTTTAATGATTACAGTGGCATGCAGCTCACGGTAAGCAGCAAAAAATATTCTCAAATCTTTAAGTGTGGTGACTGCATGAGACTTAATAACTGCCCTTCATTCATGTCATAGTAAAGAGTTCTTTACAAGTGGCAACAGGGCAGCGTACTGATGTAGTAAGTTGTCCGAACTGTTTCACGTGCCATTATTATTATTTTCTTCTGTATTTTAAGTTAGTCAAATATAAAGCAATTGTGCATCAACATTTGCAGAAGTGTGCTGCAGAGGTTGTTTACTTCTTTTCACTTCAAAGACTCAAAAAAACATACATAATTTTGCCCAAATTTTTGCATACATGTGAATTGAAGGATTAATCTCTCCTTTCACATCAGGTTTTAAATTATTTATTAAAAAAAAAAAAACAGTGAAGTAAACAACATACAAAGAAAATACATCTGGACAGGGCTTAAAGGGTTCCACTTTACCCATCAATCGAGGGACAAGATAAACTAATAATAAACTGTTTGTTCTCTTGCAGGTTGCTTTGATCCCTAACTACCACAGCTAAACCAATGGAATACCAGGGTAAGTTTTAAAGTAATTGATTTTAAGAGCACAATAGGTGGCTAAACAGCAAACCGTCAGTTCTAGGTTTTCCCTCCTACCAAAGCTTCAGTATACAATGGAAATTGTCATTTGGGGAGGGGGAAACGGTAGGGTCACAACAGGGGCACAGACTAATAGTATGAATTCCACAGCTTGCTTGGCTTCAACTGGGATTGAACCTTGGGATTGTCAAAAGTGCTATATAAATGTAACTTATATGTATGTATGTAAAACTATATATGTATATAGTTTTAAAATAGTGCTGAATACTTTTGAATAAAACCACCCCTAATGCACGTATCCTTTGAAATGGCGAGTAGCATAGCATAGTCTTGAGCAACAGTGTCACATAGGTCATTTATTTCCTCATTAATTTATTTTATTGTGAACTGAACACTTTCCTTGTTTGTCTTCTGAAAAGTGCTTCTTTCCAGGTTCACTTGTTAAACCATAGTTTTCGTGGTTGTGTTGACAGGTTTTCAGGACAGTCCCTCTGCATAGACACACAGATCTCAAACTGAAGTAATTCTATTAGCTCAAAGCCCAGAACACAGACATGTGTGTACTGGATGAGATGGTGTATAGGCTTGTATGGTATGTGGAATTTTTGGAGGATTCCCCACAATAAACCATTGCAGTTTCATATGATGTTTAAGATTATATTGGGATGTAGTCATCTGATTTCAATATCACAACAACTATCTTACGATTGTCGTCATATGGTAACATACAAAAGATAAACATTGCACTCTACGCATTTGTGTTTATAGTCCAGCCTGAGAGAATTGATCCGTGAGCCCTTACCATGAATGACATTCTTGCACTGTTAAATGTTTCATTTTAAAAAAAGCACTTATAAGTGGAAGCTTGTGCACCTTCCACGCTCACTTTGTCATTTAAAGATCTTCACTATATATTCACTAAATGTCAAGTGCAAAAGGCTGTTTTAAAGTAGATTTGTACTATTATGGAGTCTGAGTAGGTAGATTTGCTGTTATAATTACAATTGGTGCACAAATGCAATGAAATAATTGTTCACAACTATGAAGACTTGTGAAAACTGTAATAGCGTTTAATTTATTAAAGGACATTCATCAGTGAAGAATCTGTGTTGAATATTTGAAGAGTTAAAGTGAGCCTAACACACCTCCTAAACCACGGATAAAACAAAGCATAAATAACTGGATTAATAGTAGAATTAAGATAAACCAGCATCAAGACTTTTTGAAATGACCCCATTTCAATTTGTACTGCATTACCTAACACAGTGTAAATAAAGTATGGAAGCAAACAAGCCAGAAACACAGACACCAGAATGCCAAGTACTTTAGCTGCTTTTCTCTCTGATTTCATCGACTCTGTTATATTCTTTGATGTCTGAGTCCTGGTGTGAATATGAAGCTCTCTGATGGCAGTGGCATGTTTCCTTGCAATAACAAAAACGAGGACATATAGTATGATTATGACAGCAAATGGGAAAACAAATTTCAGCAGGAGCTCAGTCAAAGACCAGACCTCATCCAAGACCAGAAAGCAGTCTCCAGGGCACAGTACCAGGTTTGCATAGTATCCATTGAAATACTGAAGTGCTAAGTGGTAAAACAGCAATACAACCCAGTTACATAAAACTATAATGCACCATGTGTTCACAGAGACTGTTTTAGTGTAGAGAAATGGATTAGAGAGAGCAAAATACCGATCAACCGCGATTAGAGCAACAGCAAATATTGATGTTGCTGTGAGAAAATAGGAGCTGTATATATAACATAAACAGTAAACTGAACTAAACATCCAACATGATTCGATCATCCATGTTAATGCTGTCGGCATCACAAGGATTCCAACCAGAAAGTCTGACACAGCCAGAGAGAGGATGAGCATGTTAGTTGGTGTGTGGAGCTGCTTGAAGTGACAAACAGAGATGATGATCAGCAGATTTCCACACACTGTTAGCAGAACAGCAGCAGCTGCACACACATACAGAAACACATACACAGCAGATACAGATCTCTCTGGACAGGAAAACCTGAGGCATTGATCAGTTTGGTTAACCTCCGTAAGATTCATGAACACAGCATTTAAAATGTGCTGAAAAAAATTAGGCAAAACTTGACTTTTTGTGAGAAACTGTAGGGTGAATCATATGAAAGAGGTTACGTTCATGGTCAAAGGCGTTATGGCTTGAGGTAGCAGGTCTGCTATTTGTATGGTTTTAAAACTGCTCACACCCCCTAATTTGAATGATGGCTTCATACATGATGTATTGGATTGTTTGTGTGGTGGTAAAAAAAAAAAACGGTTTGGAACAGGCCTCTGTGTGGGAATGGACAACTTCAAACACATAGACCTTTCTTACTGTAGGAGAATCAGGGATGACAGAGAGACTCCTTTTAAATAATCCAACGACATCTCGGACTTAACAGCAGAAAGTTTAACTTTGAGAATCCTAGTGTTATTATTGTGCATTTGCTATATGTTTAATTAACCTTATGTAATCATTTTATGTATGATTACATGATTATTTAAATACAATTATAACAGACAAAGATCTGTATAGAGAGGTTGAAGTCTAGACTTCTGACATTTTCCATTTGTTTTAATGTAAAACAATTTCAAAATTTAAATTATGCTTCTTTCCTCAAAGCAACAATTGAAAATGCACAAAAATAATTTTCCAAAAATAAAAACTTTATAAGTGAGAGAACTACACTCTGTAAAAAGATGTTTCTTTAAGGGTCAAGAGAAGAAGAGATAAACACTCAAAGAACCTTTGACATGCTTAAAGAGTTTTTTGCATTGTCAAATGATGGACGATGTACAGAAGAAGGTTTTAAATAGAAGCTTTTTGAAAAGAGTTCTAAACAGCCCCAAAAATGGTTCTTCTGTTGTTATCATGCTAATCCTGGAACGATAAAAGACCCTTTTTGGTGCTATATAGAACCCTTTTCAAAAAGTTCCTATATAGAACCAACTGCAACACATTCTCCATCAAACTGAAGAACCCTTTCATGATGCCAAGAACCCTTTATTATGCAAACAGTTATTTGATGGGTCATGATTGTACATAGAACCAGTTTCTTTAGTAAAGAAACCTTATTATGAAGCGTTATGAAGGGCATTGAAGAACCATCATTTTTACATGTGTAGTAGTGCTGAAGTGATCTGATGGTGCTTTTTATCATGGCAAATGGATAGATACAGTAATGCCAGCTCTTCCTTTGATTGGACTTATACATTAGATTAACCACTGACAGAATATATTAAGTGACATTGGAAACAGATAGTTTTGTTATGATTTACAGTGGGTGGAACCAAAGTTGTGAAAAAAAAACATCAATATCAATGTGTCACTGACTGTGAATCCAAACTACTATAGTTGTTATTTAGTGGCACTAACACTGCCTCTAAATTCTACATTTTATTGCATTTCATGGCACATTGTCAGTAACATGGGAGAAGAGTGAAACTGAGGTCTCTGGTACAATTACCTCACCAACAGGACATTGTAGTGTGTTAAGGACTCATGCTTCCTTGTTTGTGATGGTTTTAAGGTGGACTTCTTGTACTAGTAGTACTAGTTGTACTAGGAGCACCATGTAAATCTAGTTCATTGACCATACAAGCAGCCCAAGACCCAATGTGACACTTACAAACCCACTATAGAGTTCGGCCAGTGGATTTTTTTTATCATTAAACAAAGAATTAACTACATAATTAGGTGTTTACAAAATGATTTGATATCAATACTGATGCCAGAGACTTTTCAGATATCGTCTTTTACTTGACAACTGTAGAAGAGTTATTTAGAGATACTGCTATTCATGTTCGTACTTACAGATGTTCAACAATTATAACAATGTGTATTTGTATACAAACTAAAAGTGGGTATGGCTTAAACCAGAAATGAGTGTGAGGTGCAGGAAGTATGTTTACAGACCACAGATCACAGAGGAAATTGCTGACATTAACATGTTATGTTATGCCTGTAATTTACGCAGCCAAACAGTCTATATTTTGGAACAAGCTTGCCTTTTGGCTCCCTGATGATAGTACCGACTTCTGAAGTATTGAAGATGGTTATTTTTATTATTTTTATATTCTGGGTATTGAAATAATTCGGTCTGGACCGTGAAAATAGGACAAGTATGTGTCGCAGGCACATTGATAGCTCAGTGTAATATCATACATGAAAGTTTGCCTACCCCAAAATAACTGTTATTTTGAAGTTGACATACACATAATGCAAACTGGCAGATCTCTAGCTATTCATGATAACTGTGGGTAAATATAATCAAGGAGTTCACAAGCCTGAGGTACTGTCTCACCTATAATGCTATTTAATTCATCAAAGAACATTCATCAGTGATGAATCTGTGTTGAATATTTGTAGAGTTAAAGTGAGTTTAACACACCTCCTAAACCACGGATAAAACAAAGCATAAATAACTGGATTAATGGCAGAATTAAGATAAACCAGTATCAAGACTTTTTGAAAGTCTTTAATTTCTGTTGCGTTACCTATTAAGGTATAAATAAAATATGGAAATAAACAAGCTAGAAACACAGAAACTAGAATGCCAAGTACTTTAGCTGCTTTTCTCTCTGATTTCATAGAGTGTGTTATGTTCTTTGATGTCCTAGTATGAATATTAAGCTCTCTGATTGCAGTGGCATGTTTCCTTGCAATAATAAAAACTAGAACATACAGTATAATTATAACAGCCAATGGGAAAACAAATGTATACAGAAGATCAACCAGAGACCAGACCTCATCTAACCATGAAAAGCAGTATCCAGGACAAATGACCAGACTTGCGAAGTGTCCATTGAAGTACTGAAGTGCTACATTATAAACAATCAATGTAAACCAGTTAGATAAAACTATAATGCACGTCGTGTTCACAGAGACTGCTTTAGTGTAGAGGAATGGATTAGAGAGAGCAAAATATCGATCAACTGCGATTAAGGCAACATTAAATATGGATGTAGTTGTGAGCAAATAGGAGCTGTATATATAACAGGAACAATAAACTGCACTAAAAACCCAACATGATTCAATCATCCATATTAATGCTGTCGGCACCACAAGAACTCCCACCAGAAAGTCTGACACAGCCAGAGAGAGGATGAGCATATTAGTCGGTGTGTGGAGCTGCTTGAAGTGGCAAATAGAGATGATGATGAGTAGATTTCCACACACTGTTAGCAGAACTACGGCAGCTGCACACACATACAGGAACACATACACTGCAGTAGATACAGATCTCTCTGGACAGGAAAACCTGAGGCATTGATCAGTTTGGTTAACCTCCATAACATTGATCGATCCAGCTTTTGAATTGTGCTCAAAAAATAAAGCAGATCTTGACTCGTCCTGAGAAACAGTAGGAGGAAGCTGGTAGGAGTTCACGTTCCATCATCAAAGGCATTGTGGCCTGAGGTCGCAGGTGTGCTATTTGTATGGTTTCAAAACTGCTCACGCCCTCTAGTTTAAATGACAGGTTAACCCTTTAAGACTTACACTGACGCACTTTCTTTGCATGCTTTTGCGTTTTGCATGTTCATTTAGTTTCTCCATTCAAATGTCATTTAAATCTCCAGAAACAGAGAGTAAAGTTATCCCGGCGGTCTGCAGCTCCGTTAGGGGGGCGACTGTTCATCTCTCTCTGTTAACATCAGCTAAAGTTATCTAAAGGCCAGCATTGTTCACATCTGTGTTAATTAGCTGATGTTGTTTCCCTCCTATGATCACAGAGTTTTTCTCCTCTTTATTTACCCACCCTGACGTGAAGAGCCGGTGGGCTTCTGTGCTTGTAAATGCTTTGAGAGACTCTCCAGAATAGGAGAGGGGCTGAGATCAATAGAAATGTCAAGAAAACACTAATTTGGGCTTTTGTGCCAGTTTAAGTGGGACCAGGAGTTCAGGGGGAACAGGGAGGATCTCAGGCTATTTTATCGACTTTGTCGAGGAACGATTTTCTCTTCTAAAGTAAGGAGAGTAATTTTAGCCATATTTCACCTCTAGTTAGGTTTGTGCGGAGCAGCCAAGCCAGAAATTCAGTCCCAAATACGGCAGCCACAACAGAAAAATCACGTACCCAAGGACATCCTCTGATGCAGCACAAACTCATTTTTTGCAAACTTTATTTTATGCAGTTAGTATTGAAAAAAACCTTAAACCATCATATTAAAATAAAGTTTTAACATGAGCATGAAATCATTTAACCTAAGATACAAGTTATTTACATTTTTCTGTGTCCTTCTGCGTTTTTATGCAACATTGCTTTTTCATGTTTTTGTTTTTTAGGTTGCGTTTCTTGCTCTCTTTCTCTTTCCTCTCTCTCTCTCAGGGTTGCCCAAAATCACTTCCACTATGACTTTCTATGAATCAGAACTCTGATTGGCTGCAGCAACCTAATCAAAGCCAGTCTGCCCACCGGTTTTCTGGTGCTGCGCATTGACAGGCCCACTTCGACTTTCAACTCTCCAAATCATGTATTCCGATTGGCTAACCAAAGCCAATCAAATGCAGAATGTGGACTACACATAACATGACGTGTCACAGTGGAAGGAAGTGGATCTGTTTACAAAACGACTGAACAAACATCATGTCAAGTGCATGGAAAGGGTACGCATAAATTTATGCTGTAGGTTTACTAAGGAAGTAAACAGCCCAAACCGACCAAATTGGGCTTGGATTTGGATTTTAAACTGTGCTCAAATAACTAAAGTAGAACTTGACTTTTCCTGAGAAACAGTGGAAATAGTAAGATGGTTGAAGTTCATAGCAAAAGGCATTATCGCTTGACCATTGACCACAGACAGATGAAGACTAGTCTAAAAACATGAAAATTCCTATGTTTTACCAAGAATATGCTGCAACACTCACTGTCCCAGAGAGAATTTATTTGGCTAAAGACGTTTCAGTCCATGTTCAAGGCCTTTATCAGATGTACAAAATATCAGAAAAACCACTTTGTTTTATATTTTTGGTTGCACCTTACTTATAATTGGTTGACAGCAAAAAATTAAACTTTTAGAAGTCTAGATTTATTACGAATTCTTTTCAAAGTCAATTAGATTATATAATCATTTAAATAGTTAGAATAGTTCAAAATAATAATTAAATCAGATTAATATATAATTTGTTACATCTGATTATAACAGGCCTATAAACCTTATAGCCAAATGTATATGGACACCCCTTCTAATTGAGTTCAGCTGTTACAGCCACATCCATTGCAAACGCATGTAAAAAATGAAGCACGTAGTCATGCAATCTCCATAGACAAACACTGGCATGGCGCATAGCCAAGTGATTTAAATGTGGCTTTGTCATAGAATGCCGGCTTTGCCACCAGTCAGTTCATGAAATTTCTGCCCTGCTAGATCTGTCAACTGTGTAGCTGAGCAATGGTCAACTTGAGAACTGATGATTCCCAGAAATGTATTGCCTTAATTTCCATTAATTCACTGTAAGAGCTTGTTCATCTTCAATCTTTCAGGGAGATTCTTTCCATTAGCCCAGTGTTGCCTCAGTTTTTTTTTACATAGGTGCAGCAACATGAGCCAGTAAAACCAAAAGAAATATATCCAAAACAAAGGCTGAAAAAAAAATGAATAATTAAAATGATTATGACTTTTGGGGGAGTGTGTTATAAACTATGAACCATTTACACAGGTCACGAATGACTTTTATTGCTCAAGGTCCCTAGATTGAGTATGAACAATAACAAGGAAATTGTGATGCAGTCTCCAAATGATATGAAGTATAAACCAGATCCCACTGTTAAAACTAGACCTTGGGCGTAGCATTGCCATGAGAGTGAGAGAGAGAGAGTGAGAGAGAGAGAGAGAGAGAGAGAGAGAACGTTGGGGAGAGAGTGTTGGGAGGCAAACCCTTAATCAGTCTCCAGCAACAGTACAGACTTCTGAATGGGACATTCAACTACTGATGGCTTGCTGAGATGCTCACCCATCTTGCTTAGCTTCTGATCACCAAGTTGTATTTTAACTCTCCTTACTAGTCCATTTTTGTCAATAGTGGTTTCCAAGACTACCACCACCACCCATTTCTAGGCAAGTTGTCATCTTTCACCAATTTGCAAATTTCTTTTTGGCACATGCCAATGCTGCCTAGTAGCAATTTTTACAAGATATTCTTTCGCCAGTGATTCCAAACCTGCTCTGCCAGGTATGAAACCTTTTTTGTGCGTACATATCTTCTTTCATAAACTTGCCTGGTGTAGGCAGAGCTGTAATACGCTTCATGGTAAACAAGTAATTAGGTGTGAGGGACTCGCCAATTTGGATTGATGAGGTTGTCGATACTTAGAGGCTGATTATTTACAGTTGCAGGCCTCATAAAGGAATGCCTGTAAGGAATAGTCATCCAGTCTACTGAAAGAGAGCAAAAGTGTAGAGTTCAGGACTGCTCTAATTGTCCCGATTTGTTGCTCCCATACTCCACCAACATGAGTTGTACGAGTGCAGTGCATTCATACAGAAGTCACACTGTTTATGTGCGAGAAAGGCAGCCAGTTTTTCTGTGTCAGCTTAATTCATTGCTTCCTTTAGTTCAGTTTTGGCACCCACAAAGTTGCTTTCTTGGTCAGACTTGATCTTCTGCCGCACTGTTCCTTGTATGGCAATAAAACAACACAGACCATTGATGAAGGCATCTGTTGACATGTTATTGATCATTTCAAGGTGGACAGCACTACAGCAAAAACAGGTCCATGTTTTGTGAGAAGGGGACCAAAGCAGTCCATGCCACAGTTAGTAAATGGTGGTAATGAATCCAACAATCAGCTATTTTTTGCTCCTCAGTAGGCCTTTCTACAGGTAAGGGGGCAGTCATGGGCTGGAAGTTAAGGAACCAGCCTTGTGACTGGAAGGTCACTGGTTTGATCACCAGAGCCGACAGGAGATGACATAAGTGCATTTGAGCGTGGCACCTAACCCCTACCTGCTCCCCGGGCGCCGTGGATGGGGCTGCTCGCTGCTCCGGGCAGGTGTGCTCACTGCCCTCTAGTGTGTGTGTGTGTGTGTTCACTCTCTGTTCTTTTTAAAAGGCGCTCAAGCTGAGCACCTGAGCTGAGAGGGAAAGATAGCTCGTTGCTCCACCTCGCTGTTCTCCTCTCCCTGCCGTCCTTGCTGGGGTTCGTCCTCACTTGGAGCTCGGGCCCTGCCTTCCTGCCGGCTCTTGCGGCCTTCATCGGGGCCCGTGGGACAGGTGCATGACATATACCCAGCCTGAGCCAATAACCCCCCCCACCAACACCACCTGGGAGACAGATCCAGCACAGGGCAGGAGAACGAAGCCGCAGCCTGAGTATGGGCTTCATCAGCGACCGGTCAGCTGTGCTGGCAGCAGACACAGGCGGGGCCTCAGCGATGTCTTCACCAGCAGGCAGGGCCTCAGCGACGTCTTCGCCAGCATAGGAGGGGAAAGAATGCGAGCTCCGAGTCCTCTCGGAGCAGGGATGGGAGGGGAGAGAAGGAGCGCTACGAACCTCCTCATGGGATGGGCAAGGAGAGAAGGTGAGCTTCAAACACTTTCGGAGCAGGGAGGGGAGGGGGAAAGAAGGCTCCAGTCCTCCTCAGAGCTGGGACTGGGGGCTTAAGGGGGGAGTGAGAGGGGGGCTCCTGCCCCTGTGCACACTGAGGGTTGCCGCTCCGCCAGCAGGCTCCTGACCATCTGACGGTTCGCCACCTGCTGCTCCTCAAGCTGTTCGCTTTTCAGCATCACGAGAAGCAGCCTGCAGCTCCCGCCAGCCAGCCAGGTGCAGGTGTATGAGGGTCTTGATAGCCTCCTCTTCTTCATGGTCTCCTCATCCTCTAGCCACCTTCCCTGAATTGGAAACTACTGCTGGAGCTGACTCTCCTGTTCCTGCTTCCTGGGCTGCTTTAGTGCTGGTCTCTTTGCTAGCTCCACCCAGGGCTCCAGTGCTGGCTCCATGCAAGGCTCCTGTTCCAGACTGGTCCTGATTTACTGCTGGCTTCTCGAGCTGAAGTAGCTCCCTATGCAGCTCCTGTGCTGGCTGTCTGTGTTGATCTGGTCCCAGCTTCCCAAGCTGCTCCCCATCATTTCCTGTGCTGGCTTCCCAAGCTGCTTCTTGTTCTGTTCTTGTCCCAGCACCCAGAGCTGCTCTAGTGGCAGCTTTTAGGACTGCTTCTCCTCCACTGGCTCTGTTATAAAGTCCTATTCCACTTTCTAAATGCGACATTCTTGAAATAGTATAATTTTGGACAGAACCTTTCAGAAACTGCAGCTCTGTAATGGTACTAAACGCACTCCAGCAGCGATGTTACCAG